CAAAACAACAGCAACACGCGTCTCATTCCCCCCCACCCGGGAGAAGGGCGGTGCAGAATCTTCATCTTCGACGCTGTCTACTTTTAAACTCAACGAAAAAAAGATAAAAAAGACAAAAAACAAGAAAAAATACTCACCACACAAGACGCAAAGCGGGAGAAGAAAACAAACGAGGCGAGGCAGCACACCAATGGTCTACTGGGTTTGAGTGGTTTCGTCGGTTGAGAGAAAAAAGAAAGAGCTTTCTTTTGAATTAAAGTTTTTTAAAAGACTTTTGATGAAGAAACCCCAAACAATTCAACTTGAATCGCTACAGAATCGCCTCGAGAAGAACCTGAACATACACCGGCTGCTGCGGCGTCCAACCGAAACCAGGAAAGCTGACGAGAATAAAAAAGAAGAAAGTCGCTTTTAAATACTTTCTAAAAGAAAGATAAGTGAAAAAGAATGAAATTCATGATTTAAAAAGATTAAATTACCGCCAGTTTATACTGCTTTCTTCCATAGAGAGCAACCAGGCAACTCACTCAGGCGAGTAGGCATTCATATAAAGAACAGAAGCGGCATATAAAGCACCTTCATGAATCAAATTAAAGCTTTCACTCTCATAAACAAAACAATTAACATTTATATTCAAACTTATTCTTAAAAAAACACAAAAATCAACAATAAAAATACGCATTATACAGAGCTGCACGCCCATGACCATCGGCTCAAGGAAAGCGCTGCTGCGTGCGGAGCGACCGAAGCGTGGGGTGTATAGACACTGCAACTTTTCGTTCAATTTCCTCTTTTTATTGTTCAATAAACTCATTTATTTACAGTTAACTATTGTCTACAACTTTCTCAAGAAATAGAACGTGAAAAACTCGCCTGTGGGTGTACCGGGTGCGGTGCGGCACGAGGCAGCACCGATTCATTGCGTCTTTGATGGTTTACTTCAGCTTCTCTTTTTCATCTTAAATTTGTTTTATTTATTATTAAAAAGAAACAATTAAATATATCTTTTTTCTATTCTGCATCGATACCCCCAGACATGTGAGACTCATAAGCAAGGCTGCTGTGTAGCCCCTTCATCACTGCGTGTCCAGTGGAAGCAGAAACAAAGAAAGGCAAACAAAGAAAAAAATAAAAAGAGAAAAGAGAAAACAAAAAATAAAATATATGAGCCCTTCATGGTGTTTCTTCTTTGAGCCAGACGAATATTCAGTTGCTACTCTATTGGCTTTTTCTTTTTCTTTCTAGTCTCGTCTTCTCTCCCTCTCGATTCTGTCTGTACACTGCAACAAAAAGAAGAAAATAAATCAGCATCGGTTGATGCGGGGTAAAACACTGCGTCTCTATCATCAGACAGAACGCATGCAGTGCATGCAACCTGTCTGTACACCCGAAAATATAGAACACAGGCTCAATACAATCTATCTATCGGTCTGCTTCTGTATTTCTATAAGTGCTTCTATAAACAGGAAGATGGAGGAGCTGCTGCTGCTTCTTAGTTGAGTTCAACTCAGGTGTACGTACACCCCAAACCCCCATCCCCAAAAGCAAAACGAATAGAACAACCCCCCCCTTCCTTCTCCCCTCTCAGCACCAAGCTGCTGCTGCCTTCCTGCTGCTGTCGGCGTTACACTCCAGCAGCAGCAGCAGCAGCAGCAGCAGCAGCAGCAGCACCAGCAGCAGCACCAGAAGCATAGACAGTACAGCAGCAGCAGCAAATGTCTCCTAGTGAGACGAGATCTCTGAGGCTGCAAGTGTATGCTTTCTCCACTAATAACCTGAATCTGCATATATATATATATATATATATATATATATATATATATATATATATATATATATATATATATATATATATGCCAGGTTTACAGGCAGCTACAACTAACTATCTGGGGTGTACAGGCAGCTAACCAGTACAGTGTATTAGATAGAGATATATTTTAGGTGTATAAAAGAGAGACAAAGAGACAAAAAAAACAACAAAGATAAACTTAAAACCAAACGCAAAGAGCTGCCTCACTGGCAGAAGAAGTTCCCTCAATAGAAACACAGACTGCATACAAAAAGCATCAATGGGGTGTACGTACACCGCCAGGTGTATGCGCAGCTTTCGGGTGTATGCGGAGCGGTCAGGTGTACGTGTACACCCCAATTCAATATATATATATATATATATATATATATATATATATATATATATATATATATATATAT